AGCAGGGGTGTGGGGTCTGACTGGCTGCATCCCGTGAGGCTTGCACACAGTCTGCGAGAGCCGCATGTGATGGAGCTGGTGGCCTGGCCCTGTCTCTCTCTCCTCCCACCTACCATAACCCCACACCCTCCCACACGCCCCACCCCAACCACATACCCCACACCCCTCCACACCTACCTACCATACCTCCCCCCTCCCCCACAGACATACCCTTACTGCCCACACACAATATACAAGAGTAGAACTGTATCTTGAGCTATTATGTGATCACCTCTAGATAATGCAACCACACACAAATCAGGAAAAAAAAAATTTAAAATAAAATTAAAATAAGTTATAGTAGATGTTTTATTTTTTAGTGTATGATTTGGGGTTTTTTCGGTTTCAAAATAGCAGCACCCTCCCTCCCAAAAGTAGTACTTCTGGGGTAAGGGGAGAGACTTCTGGTGGCAAATGTCAGGGGTTAGAGGTGGGACTTCTGGTCCCAAGATGGTGATGAGGGGGTGGGTGGCCCATCAAGGGGCAGGGCTACCCTTCTGGCCCTTGATATCTCACCAAAACTCATTAAGCAGCCCTCCACCTGAAATAATTGTCTGCCTCTGGTGTAAATGCTGACACAGCCTTAACTGTAATGACCTGAATAGCCTTTTCTGTTAATTATTACAGATTTGTAAGCACATTATGGAAATGTGCATCTCCCTTCCATTCCAACTCTTGGGCCAGATGCACTGCTTTATGTTTATCTGTAAAGTGATGAATCCACTTGTTACTTAACAAATTACCCCTTTATAAGGTGCTGTCTTAAAAACTTTCCCCACAACAGCTTCTCCTGTTGCATGTGTGTGTAGGTTTGCATATTCATTAATCAACTTGGATGCAGAGTGATCTGCTTCTGTTGATCAACTTTGAGATTGTAAAGGATATGCAAAATGGAAAGCATTGTCAAATCACTGTCTGCTTTGGTGGGGAGACAGTACAGAGAATGGTTTATTACTGACCTTGTTCCTGCCCAGGTCTGCCATAGCCAAAGTTCATTTACAGGCACATATATGAATGTGTGGGTTTGTTACTTTTTGTTTTTGCTTTTTGTTTGCTTTTGGGGTTTTTTTGGAAGGCAATGGGTCAACTGATTACAATACACTTAGCTTGCTAGGCAGTGGTGCAATTGTATACTTCAGATTCCCAATAAAAGTAATTAATGTCTTGTGGATGCTTTCAGTGATAAACCCTGTACTTGGCTGGAGTAGCCAGACGTAGAATTTGATAGTTCTTGGGCTATGCATCATTGTTATCCCATAGACTTGAAGCTGTCAGAGTGCTCTTTGGGGATTTGGTCAAATATGATATTACCATCTGTAACTACAGAGACTGACCATTCTGGTGAAGTAAGGGAAGCTGTATGTATACCAAGGTTAGATGGTAAAAGTGGGGGTATACCTCCCCAGTGCCTTGTTCTTTATATTGATGGTAGAAGTTGTGGATTTGTGAACAAAGTATTGCCGGATTGACATGCCAGATCTGAGTTGTTGCAGTGCTTTTGTGCTATAGCTCATCAGGTTTTGCTATTTTTTGGCACAACAGTAAATGGCAAAACATGTTCCTCGTATTAAGGCAGTAAAATCTGGGGGCTTCAGCCAAAATCTGGCAGAAAATGGCAGAATCCTGTGCCGATTCCTGCTTTTTGTAAAGTGTCATGCTACGGTGTCTGGTGGTTGATTGAATTCTGCCACTGGAGCAGGAACAGCTGTACTGGTTCTTGTCTCCAGCAGTGGAATGGGAAGCAGCTGGCTCAAGCGGGGCCCATGGGCCAGATCTCAGTATTTGTCCCCGTTGCTCCAGGATTCATTGGCATTTGGCTTCTCATTGCATTGCAGTAGGAGCTGCCCGCATTTGCCCTAGAATTTAGGAAACGGGGGCCAAACACAGGCTGGATCCAGGAGGATCCTGCTGCCAGATCTGGGCCCCTGCCCTGCGGTTATGCCAGGATCTGCCGGGTTTTTTTTTTGGTGCGGGAGGAGCCGCGAGCCGGATGTAACATTTGGGAGGGCTGGGGCCAGAAACCAGCAGGATCTGGCAGGATCCAGCAGGTAGATCCAGCTTTTACCTTTTTCCTGCAATCTGGCCAACAGCCTCTTGAGTGAGTAGGAGCCATGTGACTGTGGTGAGTTGGGGTGTGCGGTTGCCTCCTGCTTCAGAGCTACCTGATCCGAATACTAAGCAGAGCCGCCGCCGGAGCGCGGGCTGTGACACGCCGGAGGCACTGCGGAGAAGAGGCTGCGCTCCCCAGCATGGAGATCAAAGACCAGGGGGCGCAGATGGAGCCGTTGCTGCCGACGGTAAGATGCTGCGGCGCTGCCCGCCGAGGGGGAGATGCTCGGGGTGGCCGTGGGGCTCCCCCCCCAATGGGAGGCAGCCCGGCTCCGTGGGGGGGCGCCGGGCCTTGTCTGCCCGCTGCTCGGCGCGGGGGCCCGGCCCGCCCCGCGGGGCAGCTCCGCTCCTTCCTTGCGCGCCCCTGCGGGATGGCACACGCGAGCCCGCACGCAGTCGCCGGCGGAGGAGGGGGTCTCTCTCCTCCGCAGGGACGGGCTCAGGGTGGGGGCAGAGGGCGGTGTGTGCGGGGCACACGAGACAGGCCGCGGGGCTGCCCCGTTGCCCGCAGGGGGGCAGCGTGTGGGGGACCCGCCTCCACTGCCTGCCGCCCCCGCAGCGCCCTGGCAGCCTGGCAGTCATCTGTAATCCTGGGAGGTTTTATTAGCAGGGAAATTCTGCAAGTGATGGCTTCAAAGGCAGACAGATCCCTCGCCTCGCCGGGCAGGGCTGGGTGTTTTAGGGGTTGTCTCCTCTGTGTCCATTTGTTAACAGTGTCCATTTCTGACCAAGCGGCAGGTGGCTCCACGGCAGGATGGCATCTTTCTCATTTTTACCAACGGGAGCCACATTTTTTCCCGGTATCACGCATGGATGACAAGTCTCATAGGGTTCCTGATGGTTTGAGAAAAAAATCCTTCCTTGTCATTCCTGATGTTTCAGACTCCGGGGTAGAAAATGTCTTTCTTTCTTTCTTTCTCTCTCTCTCTCTCTCTCTCTCTCTCTCTCTCTCTGTCACACCGGTTGCACAAAGTCTGTCCTTTGGGCTGAGGCTGTGCTTTCTGCTTTCAGACTTCTAGTTCCTGCTCCCTGATTTAGTGCGCGGTGAGAGCCTGTGTCAGTTCTGTACAATTCCCGGTCGAGAGGTCGTCTGATACGTCTGTGCAAGGCTCAGTAACAGTCTATCTAGCTTGTTGCCATTTTTGATTTGTTCTTTCCACTGACTCTCATATTGGTAGCTGAGAGGCTGGCTTAGCATGTTAAATGTGTTTGGGGTTTGGTTGGAAGGTGGTTGTTCTGTTTGTTAAGGGTTCAGTTTTTGAGTTTTGGGAGAGACTATATAGGTATGCATGGGGTTGTATTTGGCTTTAATTTTTGATCTTCTAGTGCTCTGCAGTGGAGGAAGCATTTGTTTCTTTGGTTGACATAATACTGCAGGATGAGTATTGTTTCCTGTCTGTTGTTTAGGAGGAAGAATTAGCCCAATTCTCCTTTGCATTGCAGTCATGGTTGCTGGATTTCCTTCCCTCACGTAGTATTGATTTGTAGAACTGCAGATGCCATTTTTGTGGGGAGGAAGAGTGATTCCTCTCAGTCCAATCATTTATTAAAGTAGTTTTGTCTTGGTATAAAATAAGGGGTTAGATTATCTTGTCAAATAGTTTGAGCTACCATTTCATTGGGTAGAGAGCTCTATCCATCTCGTGTTGTCTTCTACTGCACATACTGTCAATCCATTTCTCTCTCTCTGGGAGGGCCTCTGCACCCAAGGAGGCTGCATTGTTTTGGTGCTGCAGCAATGATGCCAAAGGTGCTGCTTTTTCTGTGCAGCTGTTCCCCTCTGAGTAGCATGGGCCATGCAAGTGTTTTTACAATTGCTCCTCTGGCTGATTACATACAGCCAGGTATACAGTGATGTAAAATTAGTACTTAATTCTTGGGGAGGCTCTGAGAAATTCTAAGGAGAAGGAATTAGTGGTGATAACCTGCACCACTATACCTTGGAGTGAAGTGGTGGCAATGGCAGTCATTTTAGAACGAGGCTTCTGGTGCGCACTCATGTAATGGCGTGATGGGATCTGATCTCCTGAGCCTAACAACTGCACCTCCTGCCAGATGCAATGTGGGGGTTGGGGAACAGATCCCATCATGGTATTACTTCTTGCCAGGGCAGGGGGATCCTGGGCTCCTTCTGCATTGACAAGTTGAAAGCCAAGTATCCAAATATGGGCTGAGAACTGCATTTGGGTTCCCATTGAAGACCCAGGGTTGTCTGGGGACTGGGGCTAATAATTAGTCGATTGTTGGCCCCAAACTCAGACAGTCCCAGGTCTAGTTCATCTGGGGCTGTCAGAGTAGATAATCAGCTGATTGTTGACCCTGACTTGGACAGCCCTGGATTCAAGACCCGAGGCTGTCAGGCCTGGGGCTGACAACCAGCACACTGTCAAACCCCTGCACTGGGTGGGGCCTGGTGGGGCAAAACCTGCGGCTTCCCCTGCTGGGGACTTTAAACCTTGCACTGAGCTGTCCGGCGCAGAATTTAAAGTCTCTTTGGCTTCTCTCTCCTTACATTGCAGACTGGCTGGGCTGATAATCAACTGATTTTAGTCTTGGGGCCCTTCCAGACCCCACTGTGTTCTGGGCCTCAGGACCGACTGATTGTTGTTTCCTGGCCACATGTTAAATTTCAGTAGCCATATAAACCAGTCATAAAAATATTTTGCGTTATATGTGGAATGTTTTTTATGGCTCGTTCCCCACTTGATGATGCCTTAAATAAGGTACATGTAACATCCTGTCTATTTATGCTGTGATTAACACATTAATCTTAAGAACATAACATAAGAACATGAGAACTGCCATTTACTAGGTCAGATCATAGGCCCATCTTGTCCTGTAGCCTGTGTCACCATCCTCGCATCCTACCCTGGTACCAAGTGGTAGGACACCCTAGGTGAGGACAGGAGCAAGGGCCCCCAGTAGACCAGTCCGTATTCCACCCTGATTCCACAAGCTACCAGGGAACTCAGTTGGTAGTTTCTGCATAGAGCTGTCACCACAGGCATGTGTCTGGTGTGCTTCACAGACACCCTCCACACCTGCCTTTCTTGCCAACAGAGGGAAACCCTGGTGAACACCTCCCACGTTTGCAGCCCTTTTTCTGCCTCCTGAGGAACCTCCTCCTGAAGTTCTGACTGCATTTCTTGCACCCTTTCTTTTATGCGCTCTGTCTGTGGGCCCACCAAGTCCCAGGACCTCTTGATCAACTTCCTCTTGGCTCTGGCCAAGCTGTCCATCTATCAGACCAGGAAGGAGGGTCTGGTTTGGGGGAACATAGGAGAGGGTGGCACTGTTCTCCTGTCACTCCTCCGTTCATGTCTCTTGGCAGAGTTTAATTGGTTGTCATCCACAGGCTCCGTCAATTAATTCAGGGGGCAGTGGGTGTTAGGCAGTGAGCCCTTCTTAGTGTCCCTCTTTGGATCCCTTGTTATTAACCTATAACCATTGCTTCCTTCCCGTTCTTTTTTTTTTTTTTTGTCCCAAGTAATTAGTTGCTATGTCTCTAGTGACCTCCATGATTAAGGAAGGCTTAATTTTTCTTTGTGGGCCTAAGTGCATGCTTTTATCATGACATAGCAAATAGGCCTGTGTCGCACAGTACTAGAGTGGATGCTGAAAGGGAAAGTGAACAGGGTATGACCAAGGTTTTTTCCCTATTCCACTCCCATTTGCAGCCTCCAGCATTAAAGTCTAGGAAGTTTTGATTCAGAGGCTGGAACCCCTAACTCCCATGTTCACTAGCTAGTGATGCACCTTTCCTCCAAGGATTGTCCAATCCCTTTTTGAATCTGGTTAAACTGTCAGCTTCCGTAACATTTTGTGGCAATGAGTTCCATAATTACACATAGTGTGAAAAAGAACTTTCTTTTGTTAGTGTTAAACTTGCTACCTACTAGTTTAATTTTATGATTTCCAGCTCTTGTGTGAGAAATTATAACTAATAAATCTCTATTTACTTTCTCTTCACCATTTAGTAGTTTGTAAACCCTTATCAAGTTACCCCTTCAAGCATCTCTTTTCTAACCTGAATAAGCCTAGACTCTTCTCTCCTCATATGGAAGCCACTGATCAGACTTGTTGCCCTTCTCTGTGCTTTCCTTAGTCCTTCTATACCCTTTCTGAAGTGTGTGACCAAAATTGGACACTGTATTTGAGGTGCGGATGCACCAAGGATTTATAAAGAGGCATCATTATACTTGTTATTTACAATTCCCTTCTTAATAATTCTTACATGTTGTTGGCCTTGTTGATGGTAGCTGAGCACTGAGCTGATGTTTCTAGCAAACTGTTCACAATGCCTCCCAGGTTTCTTTCCTGTGTGATAACAGCTAATGTAGGTTCCATCATAACATAGGTATAGTTTGGATTGTTTTTTTGCATCACTTTACATTCATAGATATTGAGTTTCCCCTGCCATTTGGTTGCTCATTCACTCAATCATGCAAGATCCTTCTGTAGTTCCTCACAGTCTGCCTTGGTCTTTAGCACTTTGAACACTTTTGTGTCATCCACAAATATGGCCATGTTACTAGTCACCCCCTTTTCCAGATCATTTATGAATATATTAAACAACACCAGTCCCAGCCCAGATTTCTCAGGGGAACCTGCTGTTTACTCCTTTCCATCCCCAAATTGACCATTTATACTCGCTCTTTGTTTCTATGCTTAAAAGAATTTATAGTCCACAAGTGGACCTTCCCTTTAATCTCATGATTGCTTAGCTTCATTAAGAGCCTGTGGTGGGGGCACCATCACAAATCAAAACTTACCTCTGCTGCCGGAGCGTTGAGAAAAGCGGTTGCTGTCGAAGATCGAGGATGCAGTGGCGGAGATGCTGCCGTCGGAGGACATGCCACACCAGCACTGGAGAGGGGAAAACGTCAGCTGCAGAATGCCACTGGGGATCAGGCGTATGCCCCAGAACCAGCGTGGCCACATTTTGTAGCTGCGTGCTGATGCCAGTTCATTAGCCGGCCCTCAGAAACCAGGATAAAAGCCCCACTGACCCACATTCAGGGAGGACCAGAAATGAGGCCTCCTGAGTGCCCGGAGAAGCATGAAACTGATGAATGCACTGGCAGGGGCTAGTGGTGGCAACCCCAAGAAGCGGGATGCCTTGCTAAGGCTGGCTCGGAGGAGCCAGGATACTTGCTTCTCACCAGACTGTGGATCCTGGATGACGCTG